AGTGAGTTTACGTTTACGCCGCTTTTAGCAATATTCCAGCAATATCACGGCGTGGGACACCACGAATGGGCTTAACACATTGTACCCATGTGGAGAATCGAACCCGGGTCTTCGGCGTGACGAGCGAACTCTTCAGCCACTAGGCTACCCCACCGCCCCCAAAAGAGGTTTGAAGGTGATATAAACATTAAATGACAGTATTATTATTTGGGTTTTAATATCAACCTACTTTGAAAGGTTCACATGTTTTGATCGTTTTTCAGCTTATATGAAATGAATCACAAGCGTAAATAGCTGGGAAAATAGCTTTTAAACAGCTTTCTGTGCGTAGTAAACTGTCCTGTTCCAGAGACGTTAACTGGTCAATAGATAAGATATTTTTAAATGTCTGGATCATAACTCTAATCAATCGACTAAGTTGTCCAGTCTGAAAGGGTACCTATTCTCTCTGAGCCGACGGCGGAGTTGGTTGGTGTTCACGCTATCAACCACTGGTTTGTCTGGGGTCATCACATGAGTATTTACACGTCATATAGTTGAAATATTTCTGACAGCAACTAGATATAATGGGACTCGTCATTTTTCGTCCGAATGATCCGGTGATACTAATATCTACTCTCGTACATTGACTACATTAATAACATGTTATTCGTCTAAATGGCCAAGGTCAAGGTCATGTCAAAGCGACAAAAATGTTTGTGGCTATCCCCGTCTCAAACAGATCCTTGACTAGGTGAGAAAACATCTGATTGTATTGAGATTTTAATGTGTGCATCATTGTACTATATGACCAGTGGCGGATCCGGGTGTGTGTGTGTGTGTTTCAGGGGTGTTCGACACCACCACCACCCCCAAAAAGTGACTTAAGACCACATTGATTTTTTTGGGCGTTGGCAGAGCCAAAGGGGTTTTAACCACACAACCTCCTTTTCAAAATTCCTGGATCCGCCCATGTATGTTATCAAACTTGTCTAATTTGGGACCTTGCTTCGAAAAGGAGTAGATAGAGTCTCACAATCCCTGCAATAGACGGACCAGTACAGATATACATAAACACACTCACATATGTGCGTGTGAGTGTGGTTTTACGCCACTTTTAGCAATATTCCAGCAATATTCCAGCAATATTCCAGCAACATCACGGCGGGGGACACAACCTTGTGAAATTACTAAGGTAAAGTAAAACATGAAGTTCCAAATAATATGAACTCTTCCAGTTGTGTCAAAAAAAGAATATATTGAGATTTGGCCTTTTCTTGTTGCCAGTAATTACACCAAACGCCAGTATTGACATTCTCACGCTATCAGAAAGACACAAGTTGTCAATAGCTGTCACGTGCTTATTTCAATCAATCAAGCCGATCGATGGCGTGTCCCGCGGGCTGTCAATGCTCACTGCGCGATAAGGATTGTTAATTGAGTGACAGGTAATGTTCATTTCATGTTTATATCTCGACGGGGGGAAATACTTCATTAAATAATTGTTTGAGTGATTTATTAGTGAGGATTTCTGTCCGTGGAAATCGACATGAACGTGCTGCACGCTTGTAGACAACGGCGACTGCATTTATCTCAATGATCCCACGAATCTCCTGCTGTCTTCAGTATATAAGTCTTGTAGCCTTTCCCAAAAAGTTCGGAACAAAACGTGCTGTTTTGAAAACTGATTCGAGTGAGTGAGTGGGTGGGTGGGTGAGTGGTAGAGTGAGTGAGTGAGTGGTTTTGCGCCAGGTTTAGCAACTCCACCAATATATTAAGGCGAGAGATATCAGAAATAGCTTCACACATTGTATCCATGTGGGGAATCGAACCGGGACCCTCGGCATGAAGGGCGAACGCTTTAACCACTAGGCTACCCTACAACCCCAGCCGACACGAAGCAACACTATTAGTATAGCTTCCTGTTAAAACGCATGCCCCCAACACAAGAATAGGCTACACATCTTTTCGTTCTAAAACATGTTTTATAGCAACGTGTAAATGTCTTTACGTTTGCCATGTCATGGACGCCATATGACATCCGACACTTCGGGCATACATCAACGTCTCCCTGAACCAATATATTGAATTAAACAGAACTCGCGAGGAGAACGAGGACGTTTTTTCGCATCGAGGAAATTAATAATTTATCAAGACTCGGTTATTTCTTCGGTAATGTACACAACAAGTTCTGCGAGTCGGTGAATTTTTTATGTTGTTGTCGCCCTTCGGTTAAAAATACGTTTGAACTTGACCTCCACAAGATTTAACTTGAAACCAAGGAAAACGCTTAACTCACAAATAATTTGTGCAATATTTGTAGGTCAACATATATCTTACTGAAAATGCGCTTAGGGAGGAGTTATTTCTTGCGCAGTGGCACGTTCGGTCGCGACTAACGGGATCGGGTGGTCAGGACCTCTGACTTGGTTAACACATATCATCGTATCCCAGTTTCGTAGATCGATGCTCATGCCGTTGATCACTGGATTCTCTGGTCCACACTCGATTATTTACAGACTGCAGCCAAACAGTTGGAACATTGCTGAGTGCGACGTTAAATAATAGTGAGTGAGTGAGTTAAAATTTAACGTCACATCGGCGTTAAACAATGAATAAGCCAACTTCAATGAAGAGTTACTTTTGCGTCAGTCGAATTCATTTAAGTCTGTGTCGAAACTTTGGTTTTTTGAGAGTTTAACACATCCATTTAACCTTATCTAATTTGAATTTTTGTAATCGCCTTGATAATCCATACATGTAGATATGTCGGAAACGTTTTGTGGAGGACTATACTGGGTGTGACGTGTTAACAATGCCCCGGATGACGTCACTTATGACCTTTGTCTTATGTATTGATTGGTCACTTCGACCATGACAATGGAAAACGTATGTATCGATCCCATTTTAGAGTGGGTAAGAGTGGGTGAGTATGGCGTTACCAATATCATGGCGGGGGACACCAAAAAATGGGCTTCGCACATTGTACTCGTGTGGGGAATCGAACCCGGAAGACGAACGAACGCTTTAACCACTATCCCACTACCTCTATGGCGTGTTAGAAGCATATTACTGTACCCGTGCATGCCATTTATATTACAACTCGTTGTTTCTAAGGCTATTGTATTCGCTTGTGTTGCTATACACGTTTTGAAACAACTGGTAAACTGATTGTAGCTATCAATATTCAGTGTCTTTATCTCAAGTTATCAAACAACAGGGGTCACATCAGAGAAACCATTTTCGTTACGAGGCGATCGTGCACTTACAGCACGTGCAGCACGTGCTTATCGCCTGTTCTTATCGCCAGATTGATATCCTCTTAATGGTTCCAAGGATTGTATTCCAAGGTCTACGCCTATATATGTCAAAGGGGTGAATGAGTTTGGGTTAGTTCAGGTTTGATGCCTTTTTGAACGCTATTTTAGTCGTTGCATCCTGTTTATAAGGGTTGGTTGGTTGTTTAACGCCGCACTCAGCAATATTCCAGCTGAATATTCCGGTCTGTAAATAATCGAGTCTGGACCAGACAATCCAGTGATCAACAGCATGGACATCGATATACGCAATTAAAAGGAGGGAAGTTAGACGGTTACCTCGTCAGGACATTCACGAGCATGGCTGTTGACAAATCAAAGATCAACTGAAACAAGATCTTACGATCCTGTAACTGAGAAGGGACGCAACTCTTCCAGTCGAAATCGACCGTCGAACCGTTTAAAACCGCAACTCGGAGTCGACTAACCAACTGATGAAAGTTGTTCTGGATTTTAGGGGCGGTGGGGTAGCCTAGTGGTTAAAACGGTCGCTCGTCACGCCAAAGACCCGGGTTCGATTCCCCACATGGACACAATGTGTGAAGCCCATTTCAGGTGTCCCCTGCCTTGATATTGCTGGGATATTGCTAAAATCGGCGTAAAACTAAACTCACTCACTCACTCACTCACTTCTGGATTTTAAAGATATGCGATCTTCTCTCATATATATCAGTGGCACATATTTTACAGCCGCTTCGTTTGCCGTTGAATCTTTTGGAGCTCACCAGCGTGACGTGAAGTGTGAGGAAATTTATTTGCTTATTTATTTGATATTTACCGCATACATGTTAGCTAAATGAGGACAACTGAGTCAACTCTGTATCCTCTCTGCGATGTCACAACATATCGTTCTGTACCAATAGACATTTAACTAATAAGTGCTTATCTGGAAATACATTTTAAGGTCGACAAACTGAACAAAGCAATACATTCAGGAAGAGTTTTTTCAATGATGAAATCCCATCTGGTGATGGTAATGATGACTATAGGGTGGTTGATGTTGATAGTGATGAGACTGGTCATGATGATGATGATGATGATGATGATGATGATTTAGTATCTTTGATGATAACGAAAATGACGATCATGATCGGGACCTCCATCATATCCTTTTGTTAATGGTGATGGTAACGTGTAAGTGTTTTTTTGTTTTGTATGTTTATTGTATGCTTTGTCGGCGGTGATACCCATGATAATACTATTTATTTCAATGATGATGATGATAATGATGACGATGTTGACGATGATAATGATGACGATGATGAAGATGTTAATGATGATGATGAAGGTGTTAATGATGACGATGATGAAGATGTTAATGATGATGATGAAGGTGTTAATGATGATGATGATGATGAATGATAATGATGACGATGATGAAGATGTTAATGATGATGATGAAGGTGTTAATGATGATGATAATGACGATGTTGACGATGATAATGATGACGATGATGAAGATGTTAATGATGATGATGAAGGTGTTAATGATCACCGTCAATATGCTGCTGTTGGTGATAGTTTTGATGATGTTTGATGTTCCTGCTGGTGATATTTACAGGTAATGACACTCACTGATAATGACGGTTATGTGTTGATGATGTTTGATGTTCCTGTTGGTGATATTTACAGGTAATGACACTCACTGATAATGACGGTTATGTGTTGATGTTCACAAGATAATGATGATTGTTATTCTTGCAGTGGGAGAGTCCTGTCCCCGGCGTGAGTTGACCAACAGAGTATGCAGGAAGGAATGCTCCATGACCAAACCTTGCCTCAGTCCCAAGAAGAAGTGTATGTGTGATGGAGCGTGTGGCAAGACGTGTGTTAATCCGAGTAAGTGCCCGCTGTAACATTCTACACTAAGGCAGATGAATATGGAATACCTTCTCCAGAAAACGTCTTTGGACAGCATTTCTATTTTTTTGTGTTTCTCATCGCCCGACCGACCCTCCTAATTTATTGAGTTCCCAAATTCCGTTACTTAGCATTTCTCGATACAATGTTTGAAGCCCATTTCTGGTGTCCCCCGCCCTGATATTGCTGGAATATTGCTAAAAACGAACGGCGTAAAACTAAACTCACTCACTCACTCACTAGCTCTGATGTATTCGTAGCATCTTATAAACGTCATGAAAATTTAAGCATTGTTGGCACAACGTGTTATTTAATTTCTCTGTTCCTGTAGATCTGCGCTGTGAGGATCTTCGCGATATTCCTCATGGACGTGTAGAGATCATCCCCTTCAATCAGTTCGGCGCTGTTGCCAAGTACATCTGCGACGATGGGTACACACTGTTCGGAGTTCCGGGGCGGGTGTGTCAAGGTGACGAGACCTGGAGTAAAGAGGAACCCCGCTGTGGACCGACCAAGGTGATAGACGGTGAGTTGCATAGTGCTGTTGCCTCGCGGTTGCCTCGCGAGTGCTTCGCGAGTACTTTGCGAGTGTATCGCAAGCTATCACTGACCATAACAAAATAGATTACTTGCTTCTTGCGGACACACGGATATCCGAAGAAAGATGCATTTCGCTCGTCACACATCAAGCTATTCGCTATTGACGGCAAATTGATCCCAGGTCGAACCAATAGATTCTAGCGGATAGTAACATCAAACAATTCGCGTGTTGCTCGCTGCTAAGATTTCGCTATTGCACAGGGGCACCGAATACATAATTATGAGCCCATCAAACATAAATCGTGTGCTTTTATTAACAAGTGGCCTAATGAAATATAATTTTCCTCCAAGATGATATATAGGGAGTCCACAGAAATTAGCATTTCGCAATAAACGTAAGCAGCCTGTCTGTGTGAAGATTTTGTTTCACAGAAATGCAATATGTAAAACCAGAAAGAATTAGTAAAAGTGTCAAAAACACATAATATATGTGGTTTGAATGACTGTGATTTATGGAGAGAATATACGATGTACGACGCAGTAAGCGACATTCCAGCTACATTGTCATGCATATAATAGTATACATTTGAAAACTGGATTGACCTGAACAGTATCAACGTTTTAAAACATCGCAGCTGAAAATAGTGCAAACTTAAGGCCCAAACACAGTTCTGATACCCGTATAAACTACGTCATCATCGAATGAGTGTTTGTTTATTTGTTGCCACAAAAAACACAGGTGTATACTTTCTTTTCTTCGTCAGTATATATCACAGCGATGCTTTTAGCCGACCACAGCCTGATTGAAAGCATCAGGAATAATTAATCCGTTCAGGGTAACATGACATACATCAAAGGGGATGTATTTGCTCTTTTGTAATTCCTATGCCATAACATATAGACTTACATTAGTGTAGATACCTTGTACAAGTGGGCATAGGGCATAAATTGGTACTCGATGCTCATGAAGGTCCCCTGTGTGCCACAGAATGAGGTATTAAAGACAATACAGGAGTCCGGAGCCCGCAAGGAACGTTTTCATATAATTAAGCACTAAAATACAGATATTTATCCTTCCAGAGAAAAATGAGTGCGGTCTCCCCCCACGGGTCCACAACGCCAAGCACAAGCCCAGCGTCCCGGGACGGATGACGTACCCCCTGGGTAGCATGCTTCAGTATGAATGCGAGGACGGCTTCACGGCCAGGAAGGAGCGGGTGGACAGGGCATGGTGCGTGGGAGGGGGTGTCTGGGTCGGGCCCAACATGACCTGTGCTCGTAAGTCAGTTATGGAGTTCAAAGATCCCATTAACACCCTTGAATATAATGTAATGTTTAGCGCAGTCGTGTCCAGTGAATGCATGGAACGAGAGACGCTGACATATTTTTTTCAACTTTTTAACAAGTATAGTTGAATGGATATAAACATAAAGACAGATAGAGAGATGGAAATAGATGATGGATAACACGATGAAGAAGATGGATCCATGTTACTAGTATATAGAGATAACATACACGGATCGATATACATGAAGGTTGAGTGATTGAATGGAATGGGTTTAAGGCTTATTTAACAATATCCCAGTTATATCACAGTGTGTCAGCTGAATGTGGGAAGAAAGGCCAAACAAAGCATATATCTTTGGTGAAACCCTCGAGCGTGTGTCTGGGGCTGAAACGGGGACACACTGATTAGAAGCAGAAATTATAAGTTCCTGGCGTGGTCAAGGGACAGAACTCTCCACAGCGGATTACAGCGTCTGACCACGCGATAGATAGATAGATAGATAGATAGATAGATGACTTTAGGTAACGGCAACGTTTTTTGTGGATTATACAGGGTTGATTGATGTAGAATCATTTTGTAACATTACCTGGCAAAGTGAGCAAATTTGACATTTTCTTTAGGATAATTATATTTGAATTTGGAATCTAAATTTGTGTAGAGCCCTGTTGGTCCAGACGATTGTTACATCTGGATCAACAGGGTGCCAGTGTTCTGGTTTCTGGTTTGGCCATTCTTGCAACGGGGTCTATGTCACGTGACCTAACAAATGCTACTAATCCCCAAAAAACTAACCGCCTTTCTACTCTGTGTAGAATTCACAGTGTGTCCTTGTTATTATTTATGTTGAAGACGCTGGCTGCCCGCTTCTCCCGGAGATAGAGCATGGATCTGTCCAGATCCTGTCCAACACCATCGACGGCCGGGCGCGCTACTACTGCGACCAGGGCTACCACCTCGCCGGCAGGGAGGAGAGGGTGTGTCTCCCCGACGGACAATGGGACGGCAAAGACCCCACGTGTGAGGAAGGTGAGGAAACGACCTTTTGTATTTCTGAGGGGTGGGGAGAATATTCTTATTAAAAGTTACTCTACAAAATATTACAAACATATCTTCCAAAGTTTTACATCAGCAGTCGTATTCTATGTAATGTCGTATTTTTCTCCTCGTTTGTGAAGAGATTCCTACTCGGCAGTCATAAAGCAAGTGGTCAAGTGGAGTATGTCCAGTTGGCCGATTTTTCACTTGTTTATATAAACAAGGAAGATGCCGTTCATTTCTCTTTTATAGAGTGTCTAAGTGAACCTAAGGTCTTCTGGTTTTTTTTTGAACTGTAAATTCTTTGAAAAAAATATTTTGTTGGAAGGAAAGGACACAATATCCATACTGCGGCTGATCAGACAACACTCTCATTTCCATTGGGGCGGTGGGGTAGCCTAGTGGTTAAAGCGTTAACTCGCCACGCCGAAGACCCGAGTTCTATTCCCAACATGGGTAAAATGTGTGAGGTCCATTTTTGGTGTCCCCCGCCGTGATATTGCTGGAATATTGCTAAAAGCGGCGTAAAATCATACTCACTTACTCATTTCCACTGAAGAAAACAAAAGATAACGGTACTATTTTGGCGTTGACTTCCAGTGGTCTGCGGCCTCCCCCCGAACGTGGATCACGCCACACACGACGCCCCAACCGACCAGATGCAGTTCCCCGCCGGCACCCAGCTGACCTACACGTGCGAGTTCGGCTACTACAGGGAGGGGATCCCTAGGGCGGTGTGCAGCGGGGCCGAGGGGCAGTGGATTGGACCTAAGATGTCTTGCAAAGGTTAGTACATGATGGCCGGATGAACCGTTACTTTACTGTCCTACCCTAGCGTGAGACAGCTAAATTGTAGTCTTGATTTTCAAAGAATGAATGGATGTCGTTTGAGAGACGTCCGAAAAAAACCTTTTTCATTCGAAATATATATGTTCCAATGATCGCTATAGGTACTGTAGTTATAGTCGGTGACGATCCATTCAGTTCTACACATCAATTGTTGGTAGTTCGTTTGGGGCGGTGGGGTAGCCTAGTGGCTAACGCGTTGGCTCGTCACGCCGAAGACCCGGGTTCGAATCCCCACATGGGTACATTGTGTGAAGCCCATTTCTGGTGTCCCTCGCCGTGATGTTGCTGGAATATTGCTAAAAGCGGCGTAAAACCAAACTCAGTTAGTGGTAGTTCGTTTTGTGTGATCAAGGAGACTATGGAAAGGAGTGGCGTAAAATCACAAAAGCAGTCGTTTTCATCATCAACTTTGAACCATCTTCCCGAGGCGAAGTCAACGTTTAGTTTTCTAGAGTTTGATATAAGCTGTCGCAATCTTTATTTTTTTATTTGTTTCTTGTCTCCAATCTCAACCAGCAAGACTGTGCCTGGGCAAAATATGTAAATGTTACTAATTTTGTTACTTGTGTAAAAGTGATTTTAAGAAATATTACAATTTGGATCACTGGGTAATTGTCATCAAAATATTTTATCATGTACATCTAGTCACTTTGTTTATGAAACATTTTTGGATACATATAGATGAAAAAATTTGACCTGGTGTTTTATTAGTGTGTACGGATAAAGGTATGTGTTTTTGTCACATCAGGACATACGCGTAATTTTCGCAGCGACCCGTGAAGGTCCGGGGTAGAATTGATCTCCAGTAACCCATGTTTGTCGTAAGAGGCGATTTACGGGATCGGGTGGTCAGGCTCGTTGATTTGGTTGAGACATGTCATCGGTTCCTAATTGCGCGGATTGATGCTCATGCTGTTGATCACTGGATTATTTAGTCCAGACTCGATTATTTACAGTCCGCCGCCATATAGTTGGAATATTGCTGAGTGCGGCGTAAAATTAAACTCATTCATTCACTGTTTCGCAGCGGCGAAGCAGCATTGAGATCAGTAAACATTTTTGTCATTTCAAGTCGGAATGAAAATTCATTGCGTTCGTGAGATGGGAAACAGATAAAACAATTCAGAAATTCTAATGGACAGGCTTGCATCGGGAAAATGATCATGATATATAATTGATGGTTCAGATTAATTAATCATATCAGGTGGAATACACGCGCCCTCCTTTCAATATTGTCGAGTACAGACATAGTTATTATTTCAGTTTTGTCATACAAATGGTAATGTCCAGGGTTTAGTTGTTTGAAATGAACAGATATTCGTTATGGAGAGTTGCGTCCCTTAGGTGCGTCAGGAACCAAGGGTCTCCAATCTCTGATTATAGTCGGCATCACCCTTTGGTTCGCTAAACTAATTAACGTCTAAGTTGAGTGGTTAGTTTGTTGTATACCGCCGCACTCAGCAGTATTCCAGCTATATGGCGTCGGTCTGTAAATAATTGAGTCTGGACCAGACAATCGAGTGATCAACAGCATGAGCTTCAATCTACGCAACTGGGATACGATGACATGTGTCAACCAAGTCAGCGGGCCTGACCACCCGACCCTGTTAGTTGCCATGGGTTACTGAAGACCAATTCTAACCCGGATCTTCACGGAGAGATAAGCTTGGGTTACTGAAGACCAATTGTAACCTGGATCTTCACGGAGAGATAAGCTTGGGTTACTGAAGACTAATTCTAACCTGGATCTTCACGGAGAGATAAGCTTGGGTTACTGAAGACCATTTGTAACCTGGATCTTCACGGAGAGATAAGCTTGGGTTACTGAAGACCAATTCTAACCTGGATCTTCACGGAGAGATAAGCTTGGGTTACTGAAGACCATTTGTAACCTGGATCTTCACGGAGAGATAAGCTTTGGTTACTGAAGACCATTTGTAACCTGGATCTTCACGGAGAGATAAGCTTGGGCTACTGAAGACCAATTCTAACCTGGATCTTCACGGAGAGATAAGCTTGGGTTACTGAAGACCATTTGTAACCTGGATCTTCACGGAGAGATAAGCTTTGGTTACTGAAGACCAATTCTAGCCCGGATCTTCACGGAGAGATAAGCTTGGGTTACTGAAGACCATTTGTAACCTGGATCTTCACGGGTCTAACGTCTAAGACATTGTTTTAAATATAATTTAACTTAAAATGTAGCCGAGACTTTAATCTACGTTCATTTATTTATTTTATTTTGAAATTTCAGCCAGGGACTGTGGTTCGCCAGGAGAACTCGTTAATGGCTGGCGTAACCCTGGTTACCGCTTCACATTTCCCAGTCGGGTTACCTACCATTGTAACGAGGGATATGAACTGGTGGGCAAAGGTTTCCGAGAATGCCAGGCGAACGGTGATTGGTCAGGATCATTGCCCACATGTAATCGTGAGTATGAGTGGATGTTTCAAAACAAACAGATTGAACACGTCACTGACCTGCCAGTTAACGGAACTGAAAAACGTGTGAATTAAGTCTAAGAATTTACATACTTACATGTATGAATTCCCTGTACAATACTTTGTACTCACGTGTCCAGATAGATGTTTAGCATCTGATTTGGGCACTAGTGACTTCCAGTAAGTTCAATTCGGTAATGGATGCCTGGAAACCAGGATTCAGATACCAGGATTAGTTAAGGTTATTTCCCATGTTTATCATTTTTGGGGGGTAATATCCCATGTTTATTGGGTAATATCCAATGTTTATTCGACAACTGATTACTCAATCATGACGTATCGAATGTTTGACTGACTCAACATGTTCGATTTTGTAGTACCAATGAATTAATGCAGACAGACAGACAGACAGACAGACAGACAGATAGTTTATTTAGGTCTCACCTCGTGCAATGCAACATAAAAATAAATTATTATACATAAATTCATGGACGAGCCACCCATTTCGGGTTACGAGAGACACATAAACAGTTAGTAAACAGTTTCACACATTACTATATAAGATTCCCCTTCTTCTTTCTAAAATAAACTTGCAGGTTTTGGCCGACAGAAATACAATATCTGGGTTAGACAATATAAAACTGACTTTATCACAGGCGCTCAAAAGATTAAAATTATCACAAATACTACTACATTCAGCTAGAAGAACTTCCCTGACATCAGTGTAAATAGGGCAATCCAATAAAACATGACATTCATCTTCAACACAGTTCACACAATTAAAACACACTCGCTCAGCTAGAGGTAGATTGTTGTAACGCCCAGTCTCACACGTAGAGGGGCAAGTCCAGATCTGAAGAGGGCTAGCGCACGACGATGTGTCCTAGGGAGGGAACTCTGTACATACGGTTCTACATCATAGGAGCGCTTAAACTGGTAGTACAGTCGTAGTCTGTTGCCACCACTGCCGTGCTTACTGTTTTGGTTCTCCAATGTCGCCCGCCGCTCATCCTTAAAAAAGCTCATTATTCTGCTAGCAACTTCAGATGTGATATGGTTGATATGAAACGAATTTCGAATAGCTATAAAGTGCTCTAAGCCCATACTGTGTATCTTGTTATGTATTCGGAGATTCCAATTACGTCGTTTATTTCGAGGCATCTCATTTGCCCAGTTAAATACCTTAAAACACAGTCTATCTTGATTTATTTCACACATCTACAGCCGGGGGTACCCAGCCCATATCGCCTGCTACACTGCTGGTAGGAGTGAATCGTCTCACACCTAAAAAGAATTTCATTGCACGATTATGCACGGTGTTCACTGCTGGAATGTTATATGTTCCCCGTATTGTCGAACCATAGTCAAATAATGGACCACACCATGGCATCCCATACTGCATTCCTCCAAGACTCCTCCATTTAGAGATTAGCAGACCCAGCGCTCTACCCGCCGAGCTAGCCACAGCCTTACCCATACGCATAAAACTCAAGTGTTCAGTTAATAAAAGGCCCAGGTAGGTATAACACTCAACAAGCTCCAGATTCATGTCCCCGCACTTGAAACTAACTTGCGTTCTTCCGACCGACGGACGTCTAAAGTGAACTACTTTGGATTTCGTAAGATTGACTGTCATCTTATTAAAAGTACACCACGTGTTCAGCCCATCTAAAAGCACATTCAAACCATTCTCCTCTTCTGCAAGCAGCACAATGTCGTCAGCATACGCTAAAACACTTATTCGTTTATCATCAATCTGCACACCAACATTCAGACTATTGAGATATGTCAACAAATCATTGATATACAGGTTAAACAAAATTGGAGATAACAAACATCCTTGTCGTAGGCCACACTTCACGCTAAAGTATCCTGTGCTGATTCCATTTATTCTGACACATGACTGAACGTTTTATATAAGGACACAATTGCATGGTACATATTTCCACTTATACCAAGGTTGCTTAATTTCTCCCACAGAACACTTCGGTCTATACAGTCATAGGCTTTCTTGAAGTCGATAAAATCGGCAAAGGTCTGTTTTCCTATACTTTTTCTGGTGTCAATGAGCGACGTCAACGTCGAGATATGCTCATTTGTACTCCTTTTCTTCAGATAGCCGTTTTGCTCATCGCATAGAAGTTCATTAGTCTCCACATGATTACTGAATCGATTGTTTAACACACCACAGTATAGCTTGTAGGACGAACATGCTAGAGTTATTCCCCTTGCGTGGGTCTTCTGTCGATGACTTAGGTGTTGGATTAATTATTCCTTTTGCCCAAGAATTTGGTATCACTCCATTAGTAAAGCACGGATTAAAAAGTTTATGCGAAAACATCATACATTCCCCATTCTTCAGAACGTCAACAGGTACTCCGTCATGACCAGGCGCCTTGCCACTCTTTGCCTGTACTAAAGCATGCTGTATTTCCTCTACAGTTATTACCTCATTTAGGCCCGAGTTGCTGCCATTCACTGAGTCCCGACTGTGCGAAATTGTCCCCGATTTTTCGATGAGGAGAGCTTTGTAATATGCTGTAATCAACGACTAAACACGCCATTTCTTGTTCAGCATGGAAAGTTCTATGTTGTTATTAAGTGCACTCTTTTCGGACATGGACAGAGTAGTCTATCTTTACCTCAGGTCCCTTGGATTATTTTGTTTGTTTATGGTTTTGTTTGTTTATGGTTTAACGCCGCACTCAGCAAAATTCCAGCTTTATGGCTGCACTCAAATAAACGAGTCTGGACCAGACAATTCAGTGATCAACTTCTTGAGGATGGATCTGCACAATGGGGATACGATGACAAGTCAGCGAGCCTGACCACCTGATCCCGTTAGTCGCCTCTTACGACAAGCATGAGTTGCTGAAGGCCAATTCTAACCCGGACCTTCACGGGTTCATGTCTAAACTACTTTCTGTATTTTCTTCTTCCAGCTATCAACTGTAACGAGCTGGGCGCGCCTCTTCACGGCACCATGATTGGCTCGGGAACAGAGTACGGCATCGTCATCAGATTTGTCTGCAACGACGGGTTCAAGGTCGTCGGATCTAATGACCGACGCTGCCAGTCTGACCGGGAGTGGAGTGGTCAAGAGGCCACGTGTGAAGGTCAGCTGGACAGTGCTTGTAATAACATTATATCCAGGTTATAATCAGGGTAAAAACCCGTTAGAAGCTGAATGACCTGACCAAATTCTACAGGTTCTCATGTTCACGAGTGAGTGAGTTGAGTTTTACGCCGCCTTTAGCAAATTTCCAGCAATATCAGGGCGGGGGACATCAGACATGAGCTTCACACATTGTACCCTTGTTGGGTATCGAACCCGGGCCTTCGGCGTGACGAGCAAACGCTTTAACCACCAGGCTACCCCACCGCCCTCATGTTCACGAACTGCATGGGCACAATGTGTGAAGCCCATTTCTGGTGTTCCCTGCCCTGATATTGCTATAAGCGGCGTAACACCATACTCACTCACGAATTGCAGCTTGTTGTGACCGAGTTATCGACACGGAAATATACTGCAGGCCATCATGACCCATACAAATGTAAGCCCGACACGAAATCTCCTTGGCACAGCCCCACTGACATATGATTACTTTGAAAACTGACGATCAGCAGGAATGTGTTTAATTCGCATGTTGTTCCTTAACTAATTTATAATGATCAATGTGTTTTACAGAAATCAACTGTGGGATGCCTGGTCCTTTGTGGAACGGCTACCTCGACGGACACAGAACTACCGTCGGGGCAGTGTACTTCTACAGGCAAGTGCTAATGTAGACATATATAGAGGGAATGTCAACGGAAACACATAGACCGTCAAGTCTGGGAAGGTTTATTGTTAGAAACAATAGTTTTGGTCACAGAGACATATACGTTTTAGCTCTGAAATGAAAATCCGAAAAATATTACCATTTCCACATTTTTCGGGAAGATTTATTTCGACACCAAAATGGCTGCAGTAGTTGTATTACTTTTGAAAACTCATACTACTCATAGTGCTAATAAAACGCTTCGAATAATTTCTCGTCGCTTCAACTATTTTGTCGTTGCTTCAGGTATTTTCTCGTTGTTTCATTTTTTATTAAAACACACTTGAAATTTCAAGTATTTTCTCGTTGCTTCAGGTTTCTTCCCTGAGCTTGAAATTACAAGTATATATTGACTCGTTGCCTCGAGTACTTTCTCGTACTTCAAGGAACGATTAACTACTTGAAATTTCAAGTTTTTGAAAGAAATTTGAAGAAACGAGAAAATATTCGATGCAACGAGAAATTAATCAAAGCAACGAAAAAATAACGAGAAAATATTTGAAATGACGAGAAAATACTCCCAATCACCGACAAAAAAATCGAAGCAACGAGAAATGTCCCTGAAAAGATATTTATGCTACAAAAATGGCAGCATTAGGCTTTCGTACCAATGTCCATATGCTTAGAATGTTGTAAAAAAAACCACACACACACAAAAATAACAGAGAAAAGAGGGGGAGGAAGTTGTGTATTGCGGACCCTTGTAGCATCCCCTGGATGAACGTATGCAATCCCTGCAGTTTTGTCATATCCACAGGGCGGATTGTGATGCTATGGTTCTATCTGCAGATGTAACACACGGACCAAGTTTGATGGAGTGTCCTTCTCAACCCAATGTCTGGAAACTGGACAGTGGTCACATCCGGCTCCGAAATGTCTAGGTCAGTGAAACGGTTATCGAATGAGAGTGAGTGAGTGAGTATGGTTCTAAGCCGCTTTTAGCAATATTCCAGCAATATCAAGGCGTGGGACTCCAGAAATGGGCTTCAGACATTGTACCAATGTGGGGAATCGAACCCAGGTCTTCGGCGTGACGAACCAGCGCTTTAAGCACTAGGCTATTGGCGTGAAATAGTCCCAAAGAGGCAGTTCAATATATAATAGAAAAACATTGATGTCTTTAGATTTGAAACATAAATCCTGCCAACACCTTTTCAGACATCGAGCTGTTAAACACCTACTTAGGCACTCATTCATATTCTAGTTGTTTTTTCAAATCGTTTGAGAGGTAGCTTCTACCGGTAGAGCAGGACATTCTCACCACGTTATAGACCCTGAAACAAATATACCTAATACAGTAAATGCAAGTCTTGAAAATGTGGCAAGTCTAAATTTCTGAAAATGAAGAAAGTCACCTGGTTTCTTTTTATTATATTTATGATTTTAATTTAGGAACAATTTTTTGTAAAATATGTTCATTTCAGAGATTAGATGTTAGTTTACGTTTTATCACTGATTTTCAGTTATCCGTTCATATATTTCTCACTGCTATTTTGCCTCTTACGCCCAATGACCCGTGAAGATCAGTACCCCATGCGTTGTGGTAAGAGGCGAGTAACGGGATCGGGTGGTGAAGCTCGATGACTTGGTTGACACATGTCATCGTATCCCAGTTGCGTAAATCGATGCTCATGCTGTTGATCACTGGATTGTCTGGTCCAGACTCGATTATTTACAGACCGCCGCCATATAGCTGGAATACTGCTGAGTGCGGCGTAAAAGTTAACTCACCCACTCACTTGCGCTCAACGGAAACTGTATCGTTAGATACTGTGGACTACTATTTCTCTCAAGTTTTACATCGTGTATACAGGTCAGTGCCGGGTCAGCTCAATCAAGAACGGTACTCTGCAAGTGGGACATGAAGGTGCGTGGGTGGACGACGGCACAATAGTGAACTACACCTGCAACTACGGCCTCGTCCTCAACGACACCCGCCCCGTCAGATGCAACAACGGGTCGTGGTCTGTAGTGCCACAGTGCGTGCCATGTAAGTAGAAGATGGACTCGATGATAAAATCTTCGGTCAGAAATTTTCAGAAGTTTCACTGCGACCTGTAACATATCAAGACAAAGTCTCGAAATTCTTGAAAGGCATTTAGAAGTTGGACGAGCATGAATACATGACACGTTTTTTATGGAATACTTGTTTTTACTATTTACACGACGTTTCAGAGCTAATTCTTGCTCCTTCATCATTCGACCGCCTCCGTGGTGTAGTGGTTAGAGCGTCTGCCCGGAGATCGGAAGGTCGCGGGTTCGATCCCCGACCGCGTCAAACCAAAAGACGTTAAAATATGGTACTTGTTGGTCCCTGCCTGGCGCTCGGCATTAATGGGTACAACAAGGACTGGTCGGCTCGGAGTCAGTATAATGTGTCTGAGTGGGGTATTCATGCTTCACTGCGGCATGGTATCTCAGTGGGCTAGCACTATAAAACCAGCTTCAGTCTGGGCTAGTACAAGCAGCCGCACATACACATACACACGCATGCACGTCGTCATATGAGCGAAATATTCTCAAGCACGACGTTAAACCCAATTTCACCTCACCTCACCTCCTTCATCATTCACGTCGGGTATAGAATAAAAAGAAGTTGTTATCCATATAAACGTGTCAGGTATTTGGGTCTGGAAACTCGGTATTACTTAGAGAAGATCTACCGTGAAGATCCCAGTTAGAATTGGTCTTCAGTAACTCATGCCTGTCGTAAGAGGTGACTAACGGAATAGGGTGGTCAGACGCACTGACTTGGTTGACACATATCATCGTATCCCAATTGCGTAGATCGATGCTCATGCTGTTGGTCACTGAATTGTCTGGTCCAGACTCGATTATTTACAGAACGTCGCCATATAACTGGAATATTGCCGTAAAACTAAACTCACTCACTCAGAGAAGATGTGTTGAGCATCGTGTTGACACCGGGCAGTTTTAATAAGCATTGGTTTGTATCTGAACGCGAAACATTGAGATTAACAAGAGATCTGACAGATAAACATACTATTTTTATGTGACTAAAACTTCAGGCGAACCAATTAAAAAAACTCTGAAAAGTTTTACATGTCACCCTTGCAACGTTTGAAACGCCCATGTAAAGATAGCAAAACAAAATGTGTAACGAGTTTGTGGTCGTAATTCTAATGTCCACTCAGGATCAGATAAGCCCTGGTCAATTCAGATTTGAAAATTTGCTGACTCAGTAACAAACATTTTCAGATATCGGACATGTTTTGTTTGCGTCTTGAAACCATCAATTGTCATCAATTTCTAATGTGTAAGAAAACAAATATCTTTTCCAATATATAAATAAATATCATCTTTTCCAATTGCAGCACCGTGTGTTAAACCCCCGCCTCATATACAGAATGGACACCGGGTGTTCTTCGGACTGAGCCACAATAATAAAGCCCGATACTTCTGTATGGAAGGTTTCCGACTCACGGGCGACAACCAGTATCTCACCTGTAAATACGGAGAGTGGTTTGGTCCGATGCCGTATTGTGAAGAAAGTAGGTATTCTGTCATCGGCATTGGAATATGTTTAGAAACACATCTTTACTTGTCATTTATTCTCACAACATAGATCAGCGCAGTTCCTATACCTATTGAGTAAATCGATGCTCATTATATGGTCCATACTCGATGATGTACAGGCCGCCGTGAAATAGCTGCAACATTGCTGAGAGTGACCTTAAAATGAAAACAAATCACAACAACAAAACAAACAAACAATACGGAAAACCCCGTTAAGGATGGTGGTTTTGTACTGACACACTCGATCGTGTCAAATGTTGATATTTTTGTTAAATCGTTTCACTTACATAACAGTGACGTCATGACCAATAGCACGAATCGGTGAAGTTACATATTCTTTCAGTCGTGAAAATATTTTAAGAGTTGAAAGTGAATAGCTGCAAGCTAAGTAGAGCTAAAGCCTTTTATTGATACAATCTCCGTGTTTGTGTCGAAATTACTGAAATAATTATTTATATAATAAACCTTTTGTTTACATCTAAACACTTTTTCATATGAGTGAGTTGGCTTAATGCTTCTTTGAACAATATTTCCGTTAAAATCAGCCTAATGGTGTCAGAAAAGCCCGAAGATGCAAATGATTTTGGCACATGACGGTTTCGACACACTTACATACTAGGATCCTAACATGTCCACGGGACGTAACTCTTGACATCGCATTGCTGTCCCTTTAACGACTTGCACAATATTTTAATAGTTATTTAAAGCCAAGTATTCTTAATTCAGATAATTTCTTTCAAACACGCACAACATAAAGTTTTTTGTCTGACAATGAAAACACAGAAAAAAGATGAACCATGGCAATATTTAACAGTTGTATTTCATTAATACATGTAGTTTTCTTAATATATGTCTCTTTGCTGGTTGCAGACTATTGCCCAAACCCAGGGGAGATTATAAATGGTAAAGTCTTCAAGAAAGGGCACACGGGCAAGTTTCTCTTCAAAAGTTACATCATCACAATAAAACATGGCGACCGTCTGGAGTATGAATGCCACCGAGGTTACAAACTCCAAGGTCCTAAAGGCGCTGCGTGTGTTAACGGGAAGTGGAGCCCGGATGAAAAGCCGAAGTGTGTAAAATCTAGACATCCCATCTTTCATCGTCTGTGGCGACCATCCGAGGAGAAGGATAAGCGCCGAATGTGAAGGTCATAGCTTCACCTTGCCTTACTAGTTCCGGTTGTGACATTTGCGGATGAAACGAACACCGTTTGTACATATGAGTTATCTCCCCTACAATTGAAATATTTTCAGCATTTTGAAACGGATACATTTCATTTGACTGTTGGACAATTTGAAGTTCTTATGCAAACGAAGTATTATTTCTTTATTGCTATCACTGGATGAGTCATTGGTTAGAAAGAATTTGAGAGGCAAGAGATTTTTTGGTCAGATGAAACATGGTGTTTCTCATTAACCAATCCCATCCTGATGTTTGGTTCCAGTTCCATTTTTACTGTTATTTACCATTCCGACGTCTCTATTTTTATGGAATCTTTCCCGATAAAGGCGTATCTGCAATTATCCTGAGAATTATATTTCACTTCTATTTTTATGAATATCCTGGATCCATTCACTACCGTTGATTTGTTTCTAATCTCAAAGTTTTAACGGAACAGAATGAAGAACGGATGTTCTCGTGCCGACTGGTTAATTTGATTGGATGGCTGTGTGCCTATCGAATCCAATGTATTTATCGAATATAATACACCGAGTAATAAAGGATGATACTTTCCATGATGTTCGTATAATTTAAAAATCGTGAATTTTTGAAACCACTCAAATGCTTCTATTCAGCTGTGCGTAGGTAAACTGTCTGGTGAAAGAACGTGCACACCCATGTTTGTTGGTAGCAACATCTGAGACAAATAGGAAACTTATTCGATGGTAATTTATTTGATACGTATACCATTGTTCGAGTCTGAAGCAAAGTTGGCAGTGTTTCGGCAAATGGTTCCAGCTTCGTAGCGTCTTGATAAACGTTTGGATCAAGTCACGTTTAGTCAAATCACTTTTCAGCTGTATACTTTCATTTGACTCGAAGTTTAGGTAATACCATTTTACAAATGCCCACATAACCATATTCTGTACTTCTTTAAAGCATTGTTTTCATCAAATTAGTTTGGAGTTGTTACGAAATCGAATACAATAATTCAAACTACTTATTCACTATGCTGCTTTTTTTAGTATGAGGAACAAGAAATGTTGTATATGGTCTGTCCTGAGGCCACCATTAATTGTTAATTGTTTCATTCACTACTTCATCTAATGTGAATGGTGGGTAGGTTGCCAGACGAACATTGTCACTGTCAGACTTTAATTTAATCAACATAAATTATGAGTATTTCATGATGAGACTTGGTTTGGAACAATAGACGTATGAAGAATTCATCACTTTTGATTAGCTGATGTTAGTTTTATCTGGGTTTTTTACCACTTGAAACGTATCTTGACAAAAGTACTATTTCCACAAACAGGACTAGTTTTGTTGTACCTTAGTCAAATAAAATCTTCCTCATTCACTGTAGTGGGCGAAAGGAAAACAGTTTCGGGGTTTGGGAGCTATACTTTTTTTAAAGGGATATTTAATTTCTTGAAAATTACAGATGCTTATTTGAATTTTGGCCAAAATCATAACCATAACGTGATGAATTTAAAGGTCATATTTTGAAACATAAAGATACCATTTTCAACATGGAATTTTCAAATTTCCAAATACCATCAACTTTCAACACTTAAGAACATACATGGCTTAATGGGGTTCTGTTCTGAGCAGCATTTTCTCGTACTCCACGTACTCCACGTACTCCACGTACAAATTGCGCATTTTATGGATTTACAGAAAGGATGGCGCTACAGATGAGGTCAAACCAATGAAACGATACGGCGATTTATGCACACAGTTCAGGCATGTTTGCTCAAAAGTACATATATATCGAATTCTTCTGAAATAGATCATTTAATTCTGATGGACTGGGGTTTGGTAAAGAACAATTTCATGTACAATGCTACAGTGTAATTACATCTTGGACATTTCACGATGAGGAGTAACTGTAGTAAGATGGTAAGAAGCAGCTTGCATGTAGCATTCTTAGAAGTGAGTAAACAATGGGTTTTTTCCTAGAATGTAGTTTGGCGTCATTGCACTTAGCTGACCGGACAATATCAACACTGGCCAATCTAGTATTGTGATACTTTTTCATGATGAATGTTATAACCACATATACATTTTTCATATCGAATGTTATATCTACATATAAATGTTCATATCGAATGTTATATCCACAGTTAGTCGGTACAGCGTTCTTGAAGCGCTGGTACGACGGAAAAAACATTATGTCAATATCATATATGCAACTGTATGTCTTAGTATGTGCACACTTAGTTATATACATAAAATATGTTTTAATATTTCAGATATTTTGTATGAAATTGTCACCGCTATTCAATGTTTAGAGTAACTTCCCTTTGTTTGCTGGATTGTACTGCTTGTGGGTTCGACTCCGGATTTCAACCACTAGGGTATCACCAATTGCTTTCCTCATCTCTATTGCATGATGTGAACCAGTACGTGTATCCTTGGAGACAATACGGAGTTCCTTTGCCAATGTTACACCAAGTTTCAGTGATAACCCAAGCACCTTTGTGAATGAGTATAATGTCATACGTATACCGAGGAGCAAAAGAAACTATAACAGTCAGTTGATGTTGTCATACACTGGCCTACAAAGTGAAACTATTTTCTTTTACTTTGCGAAATCATACCTAGAACTATATCTAACTATCGAGAGCCTAACTTTACTGACGTTTAGTTAGCATTTCAAGAATATTTATAGTTTTGGGGAATAAATATATTCAAAAAATTATTTTAGAAAAACGTGTGCAATATTTCGAACATGTTTGTCATGTGGTTGAAAATTCATTACAGACCCTAGTCTTTAACTAATTTAGTTTTACACAACATTACCCAGCCACGTTGCAGGAATGAGGGATGGCTGTTGGGGCTGTCAATGTTCATGACATTAAAAACTCGGTATACTTTCTTTTGCCCCTTGGTATATATGGATGCGGAAGTTGGGGAAACTTTAGGATACTTGAAGCTGAATAAGGCATGATGCTTAGAGTTTTTGAAGCTGTATAATTTGAATTGTGACTAAGTTAATTCGTGTATATAAGTATTAAACAGATAGTAAAACAAATAAACTCAATAGTCCCACTGATTACTATGCACATGTTCTATACTGTTGGCATCCTCGATAACTCCAGGGTATAGTGGAGGCTTATCGGAACGTATACCCTGGAGTTATCGAGGATGTACTGTTGGCTACTAGTTAGAGTTGCACAATACGGTAACATTATTGTTGGATATTGTCGTATTTTCAATATATTGTTGTCATATTATTTGTAAATATAATATTTAATGACATATACAATATAATACAATAAATGTTGTTGACAGTTACTTAACTAATGTATCCAAGCAAAGGCGTATATTCCTGAAATGAACGACCATTTAATATATTGGGGAGTGTTGGGTTTTTGTTGCGGTTTACACGGTTCCTTTATTTTGAATGTGGATCCTCCAAGAATCAGAACGTTTATTTTATGTAGAATATATACGAGAAACAGCTAATTAGAAGGAGCATCTATATAAGGGATGCTACTCGGAGCTGGTTGGTTGGTGTTTGATGTCATTTTAACAGTTACTGTTTTCAGATAAAACCTGAGCCAAAATTATATTTGTTCTAGTATTTTCAATAGTTTTTAAAAAATACCCAACATACCCCCTCCCCAAGAATAAGAATTGGTTGATCCCTAAACTAACTATTTGTTCGCTAAGGATTTTAAATTTCAGTTTCGTTCCAGTACCCCGATCCTCAAAGTGTTCGTAGCTCTACAAGCTGTCGTAACTATACAGTTTATCATATGGGATTACGAATGACACAGTGCTACGGAACCTTTGCGGATCGGGCCCCTGTTTCTTAACTTCCCGCTTCGAAGCTTGTTGATGTTAATCATCAAAATTTCCGTTAAATTTGGGTAATATTTTAACACTGTCTCATTTGCCGATGTTCATATTTAAATTCGGATATCACGGCGAGCACTTTATGTTGCCCTGCCTATAATAGAGAACAACGTCCTGTTCTATTGGTGAGCCTCGTCACAATGTCCATCTTTTTATATGCCATATGCCAACACCTTTGCAAAACTTGAAAAAATGTAGATAGATTGGATTGTACCATTCTTTTTAGGTTCCATGAGTTGTCTTCAGGGGATGTGTTATAGTAAGTATTGTGATATCTATAATAAATTCAATTCGCTTTTAATAGAAAACATAACTAGAGATGATCCACTTAGGATCATTCTATTCATGTTCGCTGTGTTAACTATTTAACGCCTTCGCTAATTACATATGGACGTAGATACACATGCTAGATGTCGGTAGGTTTTGTTGGACAGCTCATAGACACTAATGTTCAAATAAACTTTGCTCGATCGCGGCCTCCTCGCGAATTCGGCGCGATCGTTGGAATGCTTGTTGATGCAATACTGTTAAATATGAACGTGCCCTTGATCGCGAATGCCGCGCGAATGTGACGCGATAGTTGGAACGTTTGTGGAACATTACTGTTAAGTAACAGGGCGGTGGGGTAGCCTAGTGGTTAAAGCGTTGGCTTGTCACGCCGAAGACCCGGGTTCGATTCCCCACATGGGCACAATGTGTGAAGCCCATTTCTGGTGTCCCCCGCCGTGATATTGCTGGAATATTGCTAAAAGCGGCGTAAAACTAAACTCAGTGCAGTCAGTTAAGTAACAACAACATCAGCTTGGTCGAGATCAGGGCACCTTTGGTTTTGGTTAAGCGAAGATTTCGTGTTGAAGCCGCGATCGTGGGGGTGTTTGTTTTGAAAATAGTGTACACAAAGCTCTGCTTTGTACAACACATTTTCATGGACTATTTTCTAATTTTATTGGAAAAATAAACAAATGAAAAGTGGAAATTCACCTTTTGTTTTATGTTGTGTTTCGTTTTGTTTTAAATGAGCCAGAACGTGGCATCCGGGTTAGAATGGGTCTTCAGCAAGCAATGCCTGTCGTTGGAGGCGACTACCGGGATCGGGTACATCGATGCTCATGCAGCCAATAACTGGACCCAGACTCAATTATTTACAGACCGCCGTCATATAGCTGGAATATTGCTGAGTGCGGCGTTAAACAACACACATATAACGCGGCGTTTGTACATTGTCCTGACGCTCGGTACGTAATCAAGTCCTGACCAGTCATAACTAGTGAGTAGGTGCCCAGTAAACAGTGCTGGTCGTGAACCTGAAAAGTGGATTGGTTGTGATGTGATGATGTCCATGATGTGTATTGTCTGGTTGATTGTGTACAGACCGGGGTGTATCAACAGATACTCTGCAATGAGGTCTGAATCTTCAGGGGGCAGAATGTCCAAATCGGATATGGCGCTGCAATTCGATGTGCAGCGTTGCGTCTCTTCCAAGGTGTGCCTGAATA